AACCTCAGAACCAGGCGCCATCGTAGCAACCCGCGACGCTACTTCCTTCGCAACGGTAACCAAGGGAGACGGCGCGCGCGACCGGCGATTGGATGGAGCTAATCCAAAATGGTCGCCGGGAAAGGGGGCGGGGCAACAGGGAGGGGGCGGGGCCAGGAAGGCAGCCTTTCAAAACAACCCTAAGGGACTGACTGGAAGAGCCAAGTGTTTCCTTTGGACTTCATTTCCCAGAGTTCCTGACCATTCGCCCAGGTGACTGAGGCTTCTGGGAGGTGAAGTCCACAAACCTTGACCACGCCAGTTGTAAAGCAATGGTAGTCCTCCAGGGTTTTTCAGGACTTCATTTCCCAGAATTCCTAAATATTCGCCAAAGTGACTGAGGCTTCTGGGAGTTGAAGTCCAAAAGGAATAGTTCCCTATGTTTTGTCTTCCAGAGTTTTCAGGAGTTCAACTTCCAAAAGCACCAGCCAACTTGGCCAACTGCCAGGATTATTATTATTATTATTATTATTATTATTATTATTATTAATAATAATAATATAGAACTTTATTTATATTCCGCTCCCTCTCCCCAAGGGGACTCATCACAAAACATACAGAGTAAAAACAACATAACTATAAGATTAACAAACAAAATATAAACATAAAAATTGTCGCCATAACACACATATATTAAAAGTAATCCTGCCTGTTCAAGGCAATTAAAAATTTAAAAGGCCGGGCCAAGATTTGTGCAAGCCCAAAAATTCTAGGGGGCCCGGGAATTAAGTGCAATGCTATGGCAGGCAACAATAATATTAGGTACGGGTCTGTGGCTGTTCATTCCGGGGCCGATTAGAGGAAAGAATCTGGGTAAATGGTAGGAAGAATAAGGCCGTATTAGACAATGTGTGGGGCTGAGTTAGAACTGGTCATTTTCAAAGGCTTGTTGAAACCACCAGATCTTCAAGCTCTTACGAAAGGAGGGGAGGGATGGGGCCTGTCTTATTTCCCTTGGAAGGCATTCCAGAGACAGGGGGCCACCACTGAGAAGGCCCTCTCTCTCGTCCCCGCCAACCGCGCTTGAGATGGTAGTGGGACCGAGAGGAGAGCCTCCCCGGAAGATCTTAGAGTTCACGCCGGTTCATAGAAGGAGATGCGATCACGGAGATAGGCAGGGCCTGAACCGTTTAGGGCTTTATAGGTCATGACCTGCACCTTGAATTTGGCTCGGCAGCCAATTAAGCTGTTTTAATAGGGGTGTTGTATGCTACCTATAGTTTGCTCCAGTAAGGAGCCTGGCTGCCGCCCGCTGTACCAGTTCAAACTTCCGGGCCGTCTTCAAGGGCAGCCCCACATAGAGCGCATTGCAATAGTCCAGTTTGGATGTGACCAAGGCGTGGACCACCCTGGCCAAGTCAGACTTCATGAGGTGTGGTCGTATGGGAACTGAAAATATTGGAGGACTAAAGGCAAAGTGACTGAGACTTCTGGGAGCTGAATTATTATATTATATAATAATAATAATAATAACAACTTTATCTATACCCCTCCACCATCTCCCTAAGGGGACTCAGGGCAGCTTAGATGAGGCCAAGCCCAACAGTACAGCAAATATACAACATAAAATACAAACATTATACAAAATATAATGAAAATAAAAATAAATACAAAAACAATATAAATGAACACACCAAACAATATAAAATCACAGTAATTGGCCATATAGTACTAGCATTTCAAAGCAGTGGTGATTCTAGGGTTTTTCAAGACTTTATTTCCCAGAATCCTAAACATTCGCCTAAGTGACTGAGGCTTCTGGGAGTTGAAGTCCACAGACCTTGATAACTCCAGTTTACAATTGTAATGCAATGGTGGCCCTCCCAGGGTTTTCAAGACTTCATTTCCCTGAATTCCTAAACATTCGCCCATGTGACTGAAGCTTCTGAGTCCAAAATATATACAGTACTAGCATTTCATAGCCAATCTTTGGTCCTCCAGGGCTTACCAGAATGCCTGACCATTCACCCAGGTGACTGAGGCTTCTGGGAGTTGAAGTTCAAAAAACCTCGACAGCTAGAGTTTTAAAGCCATGGTGATCATCCAGGGTTTTAAGACTTCATTTCCCAGAATTCCTAAACATTCACCAAAGTGACAGGTTTCTGGGAGTTGAAGTCCACAAACTTTGACAACTCCAGTTGTAAAACAATGGTGGTCCACCAGGGTTCTCAAGACTTCATTTCTCAGGATTCCTAACCATTCGCCAAGGTGACTGAGGCTTCTGGGAGTTGAGGTCCACAATATATAGAGGACTAGCATTTGAAAGCAAAGCCCGCTCTCTCATTCCCACCAATCAAGCTTGAGATGGAGGTGGAACCAAGAGAACACCCTTCCCGTGGACATCAGGCTAGCTCCCTTCCTGTTGATATTCTGCAGGAAGTTAAAGACCTGGCTGTTTAAGAAGGCATTTGAACAAGAAGTGCAATGATTGGTAATTTGACCATAGGAATGGAACAACGGAAATGATACCGGATTGTGGATTTGACGATGAGACGACACGGAATGGCTTTTGTAGTAATGTTGATGTTTTTGATGAGATGTTTTTTGATAATGATGAATTGTGGATTATTTTACACTATGTTTTGTATTTTGCACCTGTTTTTCTATGTTGTACACTGCAGTGAGTCGCCCTTGGGCTGAGAATTGCGATATATAAGCGAAGTAAATAATAATAATAATAATAATAATAATAATAATAATAATAAGGACCTGGGCAAGTTTCATACAAGGAGATGCAGTCAGCCAGGACCTGAACCATCTAGGGCTTTAAAGGTCATAACTAGCACATTGAATTGTGCCCAGAAACAGACTGGCAACCAGTGGAGCTGCAGCAACAGGAGGGTTGTCTACTCCCTGTAGCCAGCCTCAGTGAACAATCTGGCTGCAACTGTCTGGACCACCTGAAGTTTCTGAGCACTCTTCAGAGGCAGCCTCACACAGAGAGCATTACAGTAATCCAGATGGGATGTAACTAAGGCATGTACCCAGTGGCCAGAACTGGCTTCTCAAAGAACAGGCGGAGTTGGCGAACAAGTTTTAATTGTGCAAAGGTCCTCCTGGCCGATACTTGGGCCTTCAGGTTCAATGCCTTGTCCAGGAGGACCCCCAAACTGCAGGCCTGTGTAATTCCATCCAGCATAGATGGAATCCCTATTCTCTGGGCTGGAGCTTCCACAAAATCGCCTGCTAAGGTTTTAAAAAATATATTTTTCATTGAATACAAAATAACATAATATTTGAACAGATAATAAATATCTGTTATAGACTTACATTGAGGTAAAGTATTTCTATATTATCTATTCACATTCTTTGCATGTTCATTCATATGCAAAGCCGTCAGGAATCCATCCAGATCCATAAGCCTCCTGGGATGGACCATCTTAATCAGTCCTCTACCCGTGCAGAGGTTTGGAGTCCCAACAAGTCTAAACCTGACCAGATAGTGATCGATCCATAACAATGAGACTGTGATAAGTGTTGGGAATCAGCCTGTGTTTGTGTTTCAGGATCCTGATGTGGGAAATGATGAGGGAAACGATGAGATAAATGATGGTGCCGAGGCTGAGGTACAAGATGGAGATGGTTTGGTCAATGATTTTCATACAGACAATGACAGAGAGGCCCCAGTGCAAAGGGCAGTTTCTCATGAGAATATCCCTGCTGGGTCTAGCAATGATGGTTCACTCCCTGTCTCTCAAGATTTGGGTTTGGAAAACAATCTGACACCTGGGAATTTTAATGAGTAGCCAGATAGGGAGTTGAAAATAGGCAGCTGGAGATCAGCCAGAATTGACTGAAAACTCAGTATTTATGTCGCTCTGAAAGGCTTCGTCTGATAAAGGGCAAGTGTGGGGGGAAAGCGAAACCAATTTCTGGGTTTTGGGATACAAGGTTTGCTTCAAGGGAAAACTTGTTAGATCAGGCATCGTTTCGAAATCAAGTTCATGTGCAATGGAAATCCTGTTCAAGGGGTCTTGTTCCTGTGGAGTTTTTTTTAGCCTTTTGGATTGTCTTTGCATCCTGTTGATTCCTGCCTGGATAAACACTGTCTTGGATTGCTTTTATATCTTGTGTGGACATTGCTTTGTGTTGCTGCCTTTTATGGACTTATTACTTTTTGGAACCTTCTTATTTTCTTACAAGCATTTATTTCTTCTGGCTATTGACTAAGCTTCAATAAAAGAAGATTTGTTTCTTCGCTCTTCGCGTGGTGTGTTTTAAAGTAAGAGGGCTTTTTCCTGACCTGGAGTGCAACAATAAGCTCCTCCACACCATAATTACCATCATCCCATCCTGCACAGAAAACAAGATCCAAAGTGTGTCCCGCAGCAAGGGTAGGGGAAGACACCACCTGGGAGAGACCCAAAGTTGTCATGGAGGCCATGAGGTGGAATCCTCTTTGTGTGGAAGCCTTCACTTTACATCAAAAGAGGGTAGAAGGAATGAAGACATTCAAAGATCCAAGAACAGGAAAGTCTGTTGTAACATTTCCATACTCAATATACTTCTTTCTTTTCTCCTACTTCCCACTATGTGAAGGAGAGGAGAGGAGAGGAGATAAGGACAAGTAGTGGATAGATTAGTTGGCAAGCTTCAATGGATCAAGGAGGGTCTCCAGATGCATCTTTTAAAGTGACCTGCTTCGAACGTTTAGAGATAATGGTCAGAATGGATCTAGTGACAACTGGTATGCTTATTTGAATATGCTATATTTGCACCTGTTAAAAAGAATACAATAGTTATTTCCCATTAAGTAACAATTGTACAGCATTAATAGCTGGGCTGTGGATAAAATTGTTGAATGATGTACAATTCCTTTGGAGATCAAACCATATTTGGTTTACTTAAAACCATTTATGTAAGTGTTCTGAACTTGAAACATAAAAGGGCTGGCTTTCTGGCCAATGTTTGTGTTGTACACATTCCTGAATTCTTAACTCAAGATTTCATCAGTGAGTGGCCAGTGTTTTTCGAGGCAGTTAGAAATCTTTTGAAAACTTTCATTTTCTTCAGCTCAGAGATGATCTACCCCAATGCATCCTCATTGATCCTGCTAAATATTCTCTTTTTCATTTGGGCTGATACTGTGTTTGGTAATGTCAAGCCATGTTCTGCAAAGGTAAGGTTTAAAATGAATTGTCTTAATAAATTAATATACTCCAGTGACTTGAGACAGTAATACTATTTTTGACTCTCTTTCTGGATTGGGAGGGGTATTGCATATAGAGAAAGTAGATGAGTTGCTGTTGAAAAGACTTTGTTAAAATTGTATTAAAAGTAGTGCAATTTACTAAAGCTAGTAGACTTTTATTAAAGCTAGTGTTGTGGCAGAATAAAATTAAAGCTCTCCTAAAATTACAGGGAGTTTTGCCACAGACAAGACTTTTTTAAAACTAAGTTACTAATAAAAGTAGAATATAGAGACATTTAATATGGGTTTCTAATGTTTGGATCAATTTCTAGATGCATGCCAGTGTAAATCCAAAATAACTGTTTTTCTGTACATTTTACTTGTGTAAGAGAAAAACACTCTTATCCATTTAATCTGGGTAAGCTTTTGCAATTCTTTTTCATAAATCTGGGAGGGACAGGCTGGGTTTGTGCAGAATTTTTGGAAATTGTTTTGATTTAGAAAAATAAACATTTAATGCTGTTTAATACAAAATCCCAGACAGCTAAACATTTCTGGCTTTTAAATACTTTAATTCTTTTAAACTAAAACGTTTAAAGTTGTAGCACAAGATATGTAGAGTACCACTTTTTAAATTTGTGGGAGTTGACTGCTTTAAAGAATTATTCCCAGCTTTCGGTTTACTTCTTTTATGCTCATCTTAAATCTGCTCAGGGACTTGTTTCCCTCCCCAGTTCTTTCCTCACTGACTGGTTCATTAGTTAAGAAGTGTGCTGTATATATTTTAGTGCCACATCACCAATGCCAGCAGCTGAAGATAGAACAGATTTCTGTTGAAACAATCAAATGTGTTTTATTCTCCACATAGTATTTTATTTCACAGTCTTAGGCTAGACTAGACACAATTAGGGCCTTATTTCTTCAGTAAATATGTTTAATAGGCTTTCACTTTGAGGGTGGAGATATCCCTAGAGAACACCACCTTGTATGAACTCTCATAATTGATTTTTTTTTTGCTTATGTGGGAGGGGAAATAGTTTGAAAAGTGAATTATTTGAAAAGTGACATTTTCTCTGTTGTTCTGAGAAGTTGGACAGTTTATTCCATTTTAAACTATTTCTTTCAGATATTGTTTTGTCCTAAAACGTAAGGTTTAAAGGGTTAAACCCTCATGCCAGCAGGACTGAAGACTGACAGGTTGGAAGTTCGAATCCAGTGAGAGCATGGATGAGCTCTCTTTGTCAGCTCCAGCTCCCAGTGCTTCAAGAATTTCCAAGTCAGTGTTCACCTGCATACCGTGGGTGAAATAGTCTGGGAACTGCAGTCTGAAAAAGTTATTTTTTTCATGTTCAGAGGCCATGCACTGGGTTCAAAACAGATTGTAGAGCCCATCTGAGTCAAACAAAGCCCTGGCTGGTAGTAACCAAATTTATGAATTTGGGGGTTCATAATTGCACTCTCTTAACCAATCATGTTGTAAGCTTGCACCATTCAAATGAACTGGGGAAACTTACCCCCCACCATTAATCATAGAATCACAGTTGGAAGAGACCTTGTGGGCCATCCAGTCCAACCCCCTGCCAAGAAGCAGGAAAATCACATTCAAAGCACCCTGTTAAAAAGCCTTCAAAGAAGGAGTCTCCACCACACTCTGGAGCAGAGAGTTTCATTGCTGAACAGCTCTGACAGTTAGGAAGTTCTTCCTAATGTTCAGGTGGAAGTCCTTTCCTATAGTTTGAAGCCATTGTGTCCTAGTCTCCAAGGCAGCATAAAACAAGCCTTCTCTCTCCTCCCTGTGACTTCCCCTCACATATTTATACATGGCTATCATGTCTCCTCTCAGCCTTCTCTTCTGCAGGCTAAACATGCCCAACTCTTTAAGCCACTCCTCAGAGGGCTAGTTCTCTAGACCCTTGATCATTTTGGTCACCCTAATCTCGACATATTCCAGCTTGTCAACATCTTGCCCAGCTTGTCAACATAATGTTTAAAGTAGTACCTACATGTTTGAAATTGTACATAAGTGTGCTTATGACATTAATTCCTTAGACCCCAATTTGAAGTATGCAAGTGATTATTTCAAGTTTGCTGTGTCATCTACTGTCAGAATACTGTGGTTTGTGTAACCACAAGAGAGAACCAGGATCAAACTGATTTGAGATTCTTAGTTGTTTGCTTTCTAAGTTTTAAACATGCCACCTCTCCCAGAGTTCATGTAACACAAGGAACGTTCTGTTCATATTTGCTGACACTTCAACTTATGGCATTTGTATGAATGACAGACCTCTATCAACAGTCCTGCTTGGGTTTTGCAAAGTCAGGGCCATAGATTTCTTGACTGCGGAGCCTTTTTTCTTAATGTCTTCCACTCTTTCATCTTTTCACATTATCTCATGATACGTCCAATGTACCATAGCTTCATTTTACTCATTTTCAGTGATAATTTAGGCCTGATTTTTCTTTATGACTTGTTTCAAACTGGAAGTGAACATTTCCAATCTCCTCTCTGCAAAAAAAGTAAAAGGGGGACAGCAATGGATAGACACATCCAATGCTCATTGCGGCTTTATTCACATGGAAGCTTTTCTGATTACATCTGATCTGGCCAGCAAATTGTAGCAAACCTTGGTTACTACCATGTGTATTGTTGAGAGGAAGTGCACTTCTTACAAGGTAAATGTGTTCATTATATGGTGCTTTTCATATTTATTGGTAATTTACTAGAGAAAAAGAAATGTGTAAAATATTGCTTTTTTCATTTCTCTGTAGGGTTTTTTTTGCTTCTTTTTGAATTCTTAAGAATTCAGTATGAGCAGTTTTTAAAAGGGTTTCTATGGTTTAATATTACAGGGCACTTCCACAACAAACACCGCAGAGGTAGCATCTGCTCCAGGAATAAAAAACCTATTTGCAAACTCTTCACAAGAGAAGAAAAAATGCAATGTTCCTTGTGATTTTCAAGCTAAAATGTTAAGTGAAGAAAAGAAATACATGTGCCGTATGTACATTTTTATTTCAGAAATATTTTCCTATAAGAAGCACTTGCAAAAATACAGCTGTGGTATTGCTACAAATCTATACTTTTAAATATTTTATCTAAAATGTTTCTATTTCAAAGTTTGACCCTGTTTGCATGCTCCAAGTTGTTGTTATTGGTTCAGTTGCTTCCAACTCTTTGTGACCTCATGGACCAGCCCACGCCAGAGCTCCCAGTCAGCCATGGCCACCTCCAGCTCCTTCGAGGTCAAGCCAGTCACTTCAAGGATAACATCCATCCATCTTCCCCTTGGTTGGCCCCGCTTCCTTTTTCCTTCCATTTCCCCCAGTATCACTCTTTTCTCCAAGCTTTCCTGTCTTCTCATCATGTAGCCAAAGTCCTTCCTCTTTGCCTCTAATATGCTTCCCTCCAGTGAGCATTCGGGCATTATTTCCTGGAGTATGGACTGGTTTGATCTTCTTGTGGTCCAAGGCACTCTCAGAATTTTCTCCAGCACCACAGTTCAAAAGCATCTGTCTTCCTTTGCTCAGGCTTCCTTATGTCACCCCTGGGCTGAGAACAGCAAAGTAAATAAATTATGGTCCCGCTCTCGCACCCATAGGTTACTATGGGAAATATCATTGCTTTAACCATGCAGATCTTTGTTGCCAGTGTAATGTCTCTACTCTTCACTATTTTATTGAGATTTGTCATTACTCTCCTCCCATGAAGTACACATCTTCTGATTTCCTGGCTGCAGTATGTGTCTGAAGTAATCTTCATGCCTAGAAATACAAAGTCTGTCACTGCCTCCACATTTTCTCCCTCTATTTTCCAGTTATCAATCCGTCTGGTTGCCATAATCAGTTTTCTTGACTACAACCCAGCTTTTGCACTATTTTCTTTCACCTTGGTTAGAAGGCTCCTCAGCTCCTCCTCGCTTTCAGCCATCAAAGTAGTATCATCTGCATATGTAAGGTTGTTAATGTTTCTCCCAGCAATTTCAACTCCACCCTTGGATTCATCAAGCTCCTCACATCACATGATGTGTTCTGCATACAAGTTGAATAGGTAGGATGAAATTATATAGGCCTGCTGTACTCCTTTCCCAATCTTGAACCAGTCTGTTGTTCTGTGGTCTGTTCTTTCTGTTGCTACTTGGTCATTATACAGATTCCTCAGGAGACAGACAAGGTAACTTGGGATCCCTATACCGCAAAAAACTTGCCACAATTAAATATGATCCACACAGTCAAAGGCTTTAGAATAGTCAATAAAAAGAAATAGATGGTTTTCTGAAACTCCCTATTTCCCTCCATTATCCTGCAGATGTTGGCAATTTGGTCTCATTCTCCTGCCTTTTCTACACCCAGCATCTGGCAACTCTTGCTCCATGTATATGCATTCTTTATTCCCTGACTTTGGCATTGATTCCTGTACAAAATCACTTTTAGAAATAGTTCTGTAATGAAAACATCAAAACTTTATTATAATTATCTCAGTTACCTTTGAAATGGCCTCTGTTTAAAAACCTTCAAAGAAGGAGACTTCACCAGACACGAGGCCATTTTATTCCACTACCAACAGCTCTCATCATTAGGAAGATCTTTCCAACATCTCAGTGGGATTCCTTTGCCTGTAGTTTGAATTCATTACTTCATGTGTCTCTAGAGCAGCAAAATACAAACTTGTTTTCTCCTCAATGTGACATGTTTTCAAATATTTAAACATGTCCTCTCTTAACTCTTTCTTCTTCAAGCTAAACATATCCAACTCCCTAAGCTGCATGTTCACTTTGTGGTCTATCAAGACCCTGTGATCCCTTTTGCATGTACTATTGTCAAGCCAGGTTTCTCTCATAACTATTGGACCCAATGCTTGATTACATTTTATGCATTATTTTAAAATTCTTTCTAAACATATGACAATCTATATGTTCAAAGGAAATTTGCAGAATTCACTAGTTGAATATGCAAGAAGTACCAAGAAAATGATAAGGAACATGATGGATGATCATCAGTCTTCTCTGGATTATCTTTCCAGTCAGGTACCTCCAGCTATTACTTTATTGGTACTTTTGAAGTTGTTAATACTTCAAGCTGATGATCAAAAAATTCCCGCTACCATCAAAATGTTGAAGATGTTTTTTTTTTCTTTTATAAACATACAGGTCAATGAACTTATGAGTCGGGTCATGGCTTTAAATGCAGACATGTCTAGAAAGCCAATGGATGTATTTCCTCACCGGGCTGTTCAGTCTCACGGTAAATACTGTTTCTGCCTTATCTTTTCTCCTGTAGCAATATAATGCTTCTGCGTCAAAAATATAATAATAATAATAATGGTTTGTCATTCCTGATTTTTCTATAACCACTTAAGATTTTTGGATTTCCAGGCATTTAGATGAAATAGTCTTACCCTTTCTGCTGTTGCATTCAGCGAAGGAGCTGTGGTGGTACAATTGGTTAAACCCTTATGCTGGCTGAACTGCTGACCTAATGGTCAGTGATTCAAATCCGTGTGGGGACATAAGAAAAGCCTCCCACAGGATGGTAAAACATCCGGGTGTCCCCTGGGCAACGTCCCTGCAGACGGTCAATTCTCTCACACCAGAAGCAACTTGCAGTTTCTCAAGTTGCTTCTGACACGATAAAAAAAATTCAGTGAAGTTGGCCGTGTGGAATCTGATTCTTAGAACAAGTGATTTTCTTCTTTATACATATTTTGTTGTTTTTTGTGTGCATATTCCTATGAATAAAATTCATCCCAAAGATATAAATTCCTCCTTACAATGGCCTTTGTATTAATCATGAATATTTCTATGTTGAGAACCAGTGTGGTCTAATGTTTTGAATGTGGTCTAATGTTTTGAATGTTGGGCTAGAACTCTTGGATACCAGAGTTCAAATGCCCACTTGGCCATGGAAACCTACTGATTTGCCTTGAGCAAGTCACACTCTCTTGGCCTCAGAGGAAGGCAATGGCGAGTTCTGTTGAACAAATTTTGCCAAGAAAACCATGTGATAGGGGGTCCTTAGGGCTTGAAGTAACACAACAAATTCAACAACAGAACTAATATTTCTGTAGCACTTAATGGAAATTTATTGAGAAGTCTTAGGAAGTCTTAGGAAGTGGGTTTATGATTGAAGCCATAGGAATATAAGATGTCTGTGATTTTGAAGTCTGTATTTAATTATTTTATATTGTCATTGTTAAAATAAATAATTAAACCCAGCTCAGCTCATTAAACTAGGAGCTGGCAATTTCAGTGAATCTGGAGGCCAGTTTTGTCTTAGGGACCTGCATGTTGCATCTTTTCCAGGAATGCATTGTCCTTTTTCTTCTTTTCTCCTCAATCTGGAAGGAACAGGCAACTAATTTCTAGTTTTGTCAAATAATAGCAAAAAAGTTCACATATGTACTAAATCAAACCCCTGAGCCTTACTTTAGAAGATAATTGCTTCTCCTGGAAATTTTGAGGAATAATTATCCATTTTGAAAGTTTTTCCCCTTGGAACTAAGTTTTATCCCTGCAAGAATGGAAATGTCTGCTCGTGAATTAAGTACAGAGTCACTAATGGTTTCCTATGCTCCTGAGCATGTATAAATCCCCCAGACCTTAAAAATAAATACCTAGAATAAATGGTATTTGTTAGTAACAACTAATCTAACTCCCCTTGATTTCAGTGGGACTATTACAGGTATGATTAATGTTGCATTTGGAAAAAATAGCTTTTAGCTATGTCCTCCACATATTTTCTTTTGCTGAGATAAATACTGGGGAAAGGGAAATTCAGAAGGCTAAGCAGTTGTTGGCACTAAGCTCCCTTGGCATACAACTGTATGAGCTTACTTGGAACCTCTGGCTTTTTCTAGGAATTCTCTGAGAAAGGTCAGAAAATACAGAATGAAGCAGTTTATGAGGTAAACTGTGGAAAGTTCACCCATCACTTCTCATTTTTGGGATCATTCCTTCATTCTTTAGAATGGTTTATGGGACAAATAGATTCTTAAACCATTCTTAAACCAACCTGCATAGGTATGACATAGTTGTGTTGTCTCCTGTTTGAGGGCTGGAAAACTTTTTCCTTATATAGACTGAAAGAGATGCCTTTAAAAACCCCAAACTATTTTGGGATGTGGGCTGTTCATAAAGACAGAAATGTATGTATCGTGTAATTTATAAATGAGGACAGTATGTTAATTTTGCATAATAATAGATGTCTAGGTTAGCTGAAATCAATACTTTTAATTTGGTTAGGTTTTTAATTTATAGTTATACTAGCTAAACCCGACCACGCTTTGCTGTGGCCCAGTCTGATATGCAATGAATGAGATAGTAAATCAAAGTATTGTTGCAAACATAGATTCACTGAGAAAACCCATCTTTCAATACCCTGGTTTGCATTGCTGTGTATATGTGGATTGAAAGAAAAGGAAAGAAGAAGCAGTTTTTTTAAAACAGAAATCCTTTTTTTTCATTGTAAAGCTAGTAGATTGACTACATTTTTGGTTTGTCCATTTGGTTTACCGAATCTGGAGCATTCGATGTAGAAGTGCCCCTGAGAAAAGCAATTGTTTTCTAAATTCAAACTGCACACTTGCAAAGATTTCCCCTGCACTTTATTAATAATCATAGCAAACGCAAGGCATAATGAAAATTGAAGTTGATAGTACTCAAAACACCATGGCGATCAGTATGAGTGGTATGCCAATAGCAACCAATCACAGCTCGGCTTTCATTTCTTTTACTGCTAAGGTTGTTGTTTCTTTTACTGCTGAGGTAAAAGGAAAGCTGTACTGTGATTGGTTGTTATCTCTTCTTCTGCTGAGGTAAAAGGAAAGCTGCTCTGTGATAGGTTGTCATTTCTTTTATTGCTGAGGTAAAAGGAAAGCTGAGTTTGAACTGGTGGAGTGTCTTAAATTGAATGTTCTTAAGTGTTTTAATTGCTGTTTTAATTGTGATATTTTACTTCTATATTCTTGGCATCTAATGGTTGCCTTTTGTAAGCTACCCTGAATCCCCCTTAAGAGGTGAGAAGGATGGGATATAAATACTCGAAATAAATAAATAAATAAATAAATAAATAAATAAAGCTGCACAGCTCAGTTTTTATTTCTTCTACTGCTGAGGTAAAATGGAAGCTAGGCTGTGAGTGGTTGCTTTGGGCATCACAGATTCCACTTTGTCTATTCCCGGACTGCTTGTTTTACTCTAAATACATGTGTGTATTTGAATGTAGCATTGTATCAAAATTTCATTTTACTCTAAAAACACACGTGTATTGAAATGCAACATTGTGTCAAAATGTCAAGTCAATCGACGAACTGATTTTCGAGTTTTACAAACACAAACTTACACAGGCTAAGATTTTTATATATAAAGATGTTATTGTCTAGCTATAATATTTTGGTTTTCACATGTATATACAGCATTGAATTTTGCCTTTATAATGTTGGAAACCGCTTTGAGTTCCCTCAGGGGGAGAAAATAATGAAAATAATAATACTTTCTTTTCGTATTTAAAGAGAATGTAAACTTGCTAACAGCTGCTTCCTATTGTCAACTGTGCATATTATGATTTACACTTATTTCCCATTTTAAAAACCAGGTGACACCACTCTGAAACAGTGGTTGGGAATCACAGTTGGGGAGTAGGGTCAGGGTTGGAGGAAAAGTGGCTGTTAGGGAAGAGGTTAGCTCAGTTTGCCTTGTCGCTCTCTATATACACACTTGAACCTGAGCTTGCTTTGGTAATACTGTCTTACAGGTTTGGATTGCAGTGATATTAAAGATACGATCGGCTCTGTTACAAAAACTCCAAGTGGTCTCTACATAATCCATCCAGAAGGATCAAGTTACCCCTTTGAGGTAATATTTTTATTTATTTATTTATTATTTATTTACTTTGCTTATATACCGCTGTATCTCAAGCCCGAAGGCGACTCACAGCGGTTCACAAACAGTAAAAACAGTCTTATTTTTGATGTGCATTCTTTGCTTTGAAATTGTGCCTATGTCAACAATGAAGTGATCTTTATCTCTTTAGTTAGAGTATAATTCTAACCCAATGATGGGCAATCTTTTGAGCTTGGTGTGTCAATACTTGCCAAAAAAAGAGAGCATAACACGGGTGGAGTGTCACCGAGAAAAAACCATAATTTCATGATATTTATAGTTTAATAACAAAAATATATTATTGTAATATATAACTGTATTTAATAAACCAAAAACTAATTATTTAACTTACCTGCTTTTTCTATAATGCCATATATCTTGCCATTATAGAAAAATGCTGGTGTAGGAGCCGAGGATGAAATGTCCTTCTTGGGATGCAGCCCCATCTTCTCTGTATGCGATCGCATGTGACCGTGTGTCATCGAAAATGGGTACGCGTGTCAGTGCTGACACACATGTCATAGGTTCGCCATCATGGTTCTAACCCCTTCTACATGTTACTTAGAACTGCTATATATTTTTTTTACTTCAGTATGCGAGCCAAGTTGTCTTATTGGATGCCCCTTGGAAGCAAGTGTATTCTAAAAATGTTTCACATTGTATCAGAGGCAATTCACATTGTATCCGTGGCAATGATATTTTCTCAACTTATTGTACATTCCTAGACAAACTGTTATCCACATTGGATAAGGAGAACCTTATCACAAACAATAGCACTTCTTCACTCTGGTCAGTTGTGCTAAATGTTGCAAACTTGGTGAATGCAATGGTGTACAGATTCTCATGATTTCACTGGTATTTCAAAAGACCTTTGTTCCCTCAAGCTGGAAATGTTTTTGTAGTTTTGTTGCTGAAATCTAGAATGAGTTCTATTTTGCAACCAGGAATGCCTTGTGGAGCAGCATGGAAATGATTTCTAAGATCTGAATTGACTTACCATTAAAAAAAACCCCTTTCGTGACTTAGTCCTTTTTGTCTTATCAACCCTGTGAGAATAATAAATACTTACTAAATTGTTTTTAGTTATGATATCCAGATCTTTTAGATACAAGCACATCTACATTGACCACTTAGCGTGAATGGTGGCCAAATCATACCCATGGTGGCTAAACACTGCATGGAGCTGATCCAAGTTAACATAGCTTTGAACTGCATTAATCAGATTTTGAGATGATCTGAATTTGCCCCAGAACCTGGAGCAACCTGCAACTTTAGGCCAATGTAAATACTTAGGCCAGTTCTGAGTTGAAACTGGCTACAATTGTTTACATAGCTGTCCTGTATTCCCCAGATTCTGGCAGGCCAGGGACATGGGATGGGACTTTCCATCCTCTTCTGTTCTCCTCATTGTGGTGGCCATTACATGCATCATGGGCTGTGCCAATTGCTCATCACCTGGAGTTATGCTTGAACATTGAGGTGATTGGAGAAGGGAGGGGGAGAGGAGGCAATAATTCCTCCTCTTCTCCCTTCCCCTGTTGTTATTCTTGTGTCCCGGAAGACGTCACTGCAGATGACAAGCAACCCAAATGAATTATTTTTTTGCCCACTGGCCCCTTCAATGAGATGGCTGTTTAGTGGTGCTCAACCAGGTTTGGTGCCATTTAATGATCAGGACTCTCCTACAGCTGTAGTGGCTGGGGAGCTGATGGCCTAAATCTTTTAGATGCTGAACCTAAATTAAATAAATAGAGGGGGTTGGACACTCAGGGGATTCTGAGTGAGGGTTGGTGAGCAGTGGGGAGGGGGAGGTGGTGAGTGGTGGGGGGCAAGAAGGGGGTGAGCAAGTGAGCAGGGAAGGGCAAGTAAGCAGGAGGGCAAACAAGCAAGTGGATGAGCAAGCAGGGGAATGGGCATACATGCAAGAAAGTGGGGTTTGGATGACACACAAGGAGTGGGTGATAGTACACATGCCAGGAGAGCGGGCTCTATGTGCCCCTTCTGGCACACGTGGTTTAGGTTCGCCACCATTGGTCTTAACCAACCTCGGGCTGATCTGGCATATGACAATTTGGATTGGTTTCAAGATAAATGACCAGTGTAGAGTCACCCAAAGACTGTGTGATCAAAACATTTAAGGAATAAAAGGCGGTTTAGTATTCAGTCTAAACTGCCAACAAAGAGACAACTAAAATTTGGTGACAGAAAAGTGGCAGGGAAAGTAGTTCTATTTTTCCCCATTTTTGCAAATATAACTTGGTTGCACTTTTGATCAAATGCCTGCTCATCACATGGAGGCCCAGGCTTATTTTTATGATGCCCCAACCACAGATTTGCTGCTTTCCCACAAGATTTCAGTGGTACGTTGGTGGAAAAAAGAAAAAGGTGTGAAAGGAGCATTCAGCTTGCTTTTTCCAAAGGGTTGTACAGTTCTCCAGGAAGTGTAAATTGGCCACATTGTTAAAAGGTTAGCTTGGACTGAATTCTTCTTGTTTTTAAAAAGGAACAGGTTCTGCAAATTTTTGCTTGGTGGAGTTAAGAAATAATAAATCTTGTTACATTCCAACATGCACAGATGACATAACAAGGATGGTGATTCAGCTTCAGTATTTCTTTTTTTTTAAAAAAAAACCCCAACATTTCAGAATTTGTGCCAGGGGTTTCAGACACTGATGTCATTAAGTGAATGGAAATGTGTATTTATAACTCTTGCCACAGATCAAGAATCAATGCAAAAACATGGTTATATAATTGGTGGCAGTTGATACTAAAAATAAAACTGGGACAAAATTTCAAAAAAGACTAGGTAGTTTCTGTGTGTGCACATCTGAAGGCAAGAAATGGATCCTTCTCAGGAATAATCTGATTGAATATGGGGGAGGGAGTAGTAAATGCTTCTTCTTTTCCCTGTTTGGTAACCAGAAACAAACCATAATTGAGAAGAACTCATTTTGCATCAGATGTTAACATGAAGAAAACAGTGCTGTGACATTTGAGGAAATGTCTGGGTTTTTGTTTTTGTTCTGTGCCTTCAAGTTGTTTCCAATTTGTGGCAACCTAGGGTGACCCTGTCATGGGGCTTTCTGAGACTGAGTATGTGCAAAATCTTCAAAATCATCCTGTGGGTTTTCATGGCCAATTGAGGATTTGAATCTTGGTCTCCAGAGGCATAGTTCAACATTGAAACCACTACATCTCTCATTCCAAGGATACTCATTTGGGTCTACTCTTGGTGAGACTGAGTAAAATCAAATCAACACTCATAACAGCAAATAAGAATATTACGTTTTAATATAACCAATGGCTCTGTTTATGCTCTTATTTATCTTGGCCTAAGAAATGAACCATACATTACCGGTATGATATCACTGGGCTTGTTTTCATAATCAAAACTGAGATAGTCGAAAGAAGCCTTACCTCTAGATGTTTAGACTGCAGTATCCATTACCACAACCACAGCTGATGCATGTTAGACTCAATGGAATTTTTAGCCCAAAATAGCAATGTAGAGGAAGCTATTGGTCTCAAGCTTGCGGTCTCAAGGCTGAAAGGAATTCAAAAAGTGGAGTGAAAAGAATTCTCAAAACTGAGAATAAACACTAGTTTATACTCTAGTCTAATGGCCCGCTGGTGGTGCAGCGGGCCATTAGACTAAAGTATAAACTAGTCTATATAAACCACCACTGAGCTGCTGAACTTGCTGACCAAAAGGTTAGGATTTGAATCTGGAGAGTGGGGTGAGTTCCACTGTTAGGCCCGGCTTCTGCCAACCTAGTAGTTCAAAAATATGCAAATGTGAGTAGATAAATAGGTACTCCTTCTGCGGGAAGGGAAGGTTTTTCATGCTGGCCACATGACCTTGGAGATATCTATGAACAAAGCTGGCATTTTGGCTTAGAAATGGAGATGAACACCACCCCCCAGAGTCAGACACGACTAGACTTAATGTCAGGGGAAATTTTTACCTTTACTTACTCTAGTTTATATAGTCTTTGTTTTAATTTTCTACTGCTAACGGTATATAGTAGTCTTCACTCCACTATAGAGCCTACCACACTGTTTGTCAGAGACATAACTTTTCTAACTGAAATAAATACTTATTACCTGCATTAAATAGTTGTTCCAATGCTGTTAAAGCCTACAGGTTTTTTTTTTAAGTACACAAGCTTTTTAAAGATGCAGGTTACTGGTCACCAAGGAACAAATAGTATTGACATCATAATTTGTTGTTATTTTATCTATAATCATTATCAATTTATTCATATTCTTTCTCTCCAAATTGGGACTCAAAACATAATTGAGTTCTTTATTTCTTAATCCACATTTGACTTTTTAATGCAAGTGGTGTTTCAGACACAGAATTGCTATGTTCTGAATATACATATTTTCTTTATGATGGATGACTTGGGCAGTGATATCTGAAGATACCTCAGTGTGATCTGGAAGTGTTGTGCCATTGTTTTCATTAAATATATAATATTCACAGCTGGCTGGGAAACTACCCTACAACACTTTTAAAAATACTATTTTCTCATTTTTGGGTGCTGTGCAAACATTGCAACAGCCTGAGAAATGTTTCCTTTTGGATCTGACATAATAGCCATATGAAGTTTGGAATATAAATGTAATTTTAGTCTAAAAATTCCATATCCAGCATACTAGCTGTGTGTCGGCAGTAGAAATCAGAAATTGTTCAATTCCTCAGTACTGACTGTGCTGTTTAGGACTAGTGGAACTTGTAGTCCAGCAAGGTCTGGAAGGCCGAATAATATCCATCATTGTTTGCGTAATATTTCCATAATCCATTCCTAAGCAGATAAGATTTTTCAGTCGAAGCAGCCTCCTTGGGAACAGTGCCAGCTGGCTTAAACAAACAATTCCAAGAGTTTTTCAAGATCTTGTTAAACCTGATCAGTAAAGGAAAATTGAAAATTACTTTGCAAAGCTGAAAGTCAAACTGCATTCAACACACACTGTAAAATATATGTGGTTTGGATTGGAAATATACAACTATACAGGAAACCCTCCTTTATCTGATGAATTAGGGACTATAACACTGTCAGAAAGAGGGATTCGTTGAAAAGTGGTAAGCAATTGGTTTTGGTTTTTTTGGTGCAAATGGGTTTTGAGTGCCGAAAAATGTAAATAACACACTACAGTATACTGTAGCATGTGTGCAAGGGGTGCCAAGCAAGCCTCAGAACAAAAGGAATTAATGAAAAAGTGAATCCTTCTTCAAATGTTTGGAGCTTGTGTGGAACATGCAAGTATTGAAAGAACAAGTTGGCAGAAAGCAAGGCAAGATATGGGGAGCCTGTATGTCAACATCATTGCTGTGGGTTTTAATGGACTTTTCTCTCCTTCTTGTTTTTTTAGGTACTATGTGAGATGGATTTTAGAGGTGGAGGATGGACAGTGATTCAGAAGAGAACAGAGGGGACAGTTGAATTTCAGAGGTCATGGTCTGACTATCTGGATGGCTTCGGTGATCTTTCAGGTATCAATTTATTCTGTGTTGTGGGTTCAACAGAACCTACAGTGAGATCTGTAGAATGGTTATTCTTTTCTTTTTTTTAGGAGGATGGAGGGGGGGAGATGAATTCACAACAAATGGATTGAGGAATAACATGGAAAGAGACAAATCATGGATTCTCTTAAGGCTTGCTTAAATTCTGTTTACAGGGGAATTTTGGCTTGGGCTTCGAAAGATTTTCCACATAGTAAACCAGAAAACGGACAGTTTCATGCTTTATGTGGGCTTGGAGTCTGAAGATGACACGTATGCATATGCATCATATGACAACTTTTGGTTAGAAGATGAAGTCTGTTCCTTTAAAATACATCTAGGACGATATTCTGGAAATGCTGGTAAGACCTGAAAGCCCAGGGTCTGGGTCACAGTTTATTACCCCCATTCCTCACAATTTACTTTTGAAAGGTAATGCATGTGATTGTTAAATGTGGAATGATTTCTCATTTAGTTTAGGGCATGTGCCCATGATCTAAGGCATAGAAGAAACATTGTGAAATGTCTGGCCTTAAACCAACTTTGCTTTGTGAGATGCCTCCAGATGTTTTTCACATCAGTTAGCTTTCTTGGTAGATATAACATCTGTGGTGGATAATAAAAGTGTTTTTACAACCTGAAAAAGTACAGTTTAAGCAAACAATTAAGAATCAATGCACAAGTACAGTTATGGTCTCTGTAAAGACTAAAAAAATGATAAACTTCCAGATTAAAATGAAGTAGTTACTAAAATGGTATGCCAGACAAGTAACCTTGCCAATGCATTATTTCTTGTCTCTTGTCAGTAGCCCTTAGAAGTAACTAGTTATAAATAAATTGTTATTTGTTATCAGTGCTTTTTGCCAGCAACATTATAAGGAAGTTACTCTACAGTTGTAACTGAATGACAACTTACTCCTTTTACAGAATAACAATTATTGTTACTATTAGCCAATAGTATCTTTTCTTAATGTGATGCACTCATCATATTATCCACTGTATTGACTTTTTCTGTATTCAGTATGGATTGTGGTTGAAACAGTAGAGTGTGCTCTAAAACGTGTTGTGAGGTGGTGGCAGCTATACTAGCTTTATATCTGAACTGGGTCTAGAAACATCTTTATGAAATGCAAATGGTTTTGCACTAATTCTGCATAATGCACAGGCTCTATCGGTTCTTCAAGAGAAGAGAACAACATCATTTATAAGTAGCCACTGGAATATATCTGTGCACACAGAAAATAGATCTTTGTTAGACAGGGCAGTTAGAAGAAGGTCCTTTTTCGTATCAGAATGACAGTATTCCAAACAGGATGTACCCATAAACAAAGCATTTCCTTTTATGGAGGTTTTGAACAATCATTTGTGTTTATTGGCGACAAGGATTAGCAGATACTGTTTCCTTTTCTTGTCTGAATATGCAATTGGCATACAGTCAGAACTCTGATTCAGTATGCCATACAAGTACAGATAGTCCTCAATTTAAGAAAATCTGACTTACAAACAACTCATAGTTATAAATGGGGATGAGACAACATGAAGTGAGAAAAATCTATTCCTAGGAAGGGAAATTCACTCCTGGAAGAGTTATTATCATGTTGAAAAGGTGTCTCCACTGAAGCTTTATCACTAATCCTTGTTTCCACAACAAGCCAAATTTTTAAAAATCCAATTATCACAGAGACAGAAAGTGAGGTGAAAGGTTCTTAACAGGGACATAGACAACAAAGGAAATCCCACATGGGTGTCAACCCTTCCCTATGTTATCCAAAGCTCGCTCTCTCTCTCTCTCTCTCTCTCTCTCTCTCTGTATGCTTGTGTGCATCTCTCTCTCTCTCTCTCTCTATATATATATATATACACACACACACACACACACACACACTGACCAGAGTTACACTTTAAAAATTGTACCTGTTCCGACTTACATACAAATTCAAGAACCTCCTGAACCTATCTTGTTCGTAACATGGGGACTGCTTGTACTTCAAATTGTGGTCAAATTAGTTTAATCTTCTGCTTCTTTATCTTTTCTTATCTTTCTGTTTTTTCTTGTCTTTTTTCTCTTTTCTTTATTTTTTGTTCCTGCAATTTAGGCGATGCGTTTCGGGGCTACAGAAAAGAAGACAATCAGAATACACTACCCTTTAGTACATTTGATGTGGACAATGATGGTTGTAATCCAGTCTGTTCTTCTCAAGAGGAACCTATAAAGAGCTGCAGTAACTTTAGTGAGAAAACAGGCTGGTGGTTCAGCCAATGTGGCCTTGCAAATCTCAATGGCATCCATCGGTTCACAAGGAAAATGCTCTCAACCGGGATTCGGTGGGATACTTGGACAATGGACGACAAGCCAATAAAAATTAAATCTGTTTCAATGAAGATAAGAAGAACGTATTTCAAGTAACAGAACGATGTCATAATTTATTGTAGAAGGCTTTCAAGGCTGGAATCACTGGGTTATTGTAGATTTTTCGGGCTATATGGCCATGTTCTAGAAACATACTCTCCTGACATTTCACCTGCATCTATGGCAGGCATCCAGAGGTTGTGAGGTCACAACCTCTGAGGATGCCTGCCATAGATGCAGGTGAGACATCAGGAGAGAATATTTCTAGAACATGGCCATATAGCCTGAAAATACTACAACAACCCAATACCATAACTGGAAAACACATTATTTTCGCCTAGCAGTTCATTTATATTAGAAAAAATGTTAGAAGCGTTTTGCACATCACATTACTTTGCAATGGCCCTTTTGAGTACAATGTAATTAATGTTTCCATCGCAGTGTAGCTTGTGATGTTTCCATTACATGCCTGGATGACAGCTATTGCCTGAGCTCAAGAACTTTAGCTTCTTCATGTTGTGAATTTCCATTTTCTCTTTTTAATGGACCAATAGGTTAGTAAATACTTTTAGTTATATTATTTTAATTATATTATTTAAGAGAGGGGGCTTTCATGTAGGTATTTGTTGTCCACCAGATGTTTTGAAATTCAGCTCCCAGAATCCAAACCAGCTTGGCCAACCATCAAGATTTCTGGGAACTGAAGTCAAAAACATCTGAAGGACCAAAGTTTGAGAAGAACCTATGTAATCAAAACTGATTAGATATTACCTCTGAAGCTATCAAAGTAAACCATCATAAAGGAAATTGTATCATGACCAAAATCTTTTCCTCGGATTGAACAGCCATTTTTGATGTATCTGTTTCCCCAATAAGATGAGAAACATCTTTTTTTTTCTTTTGGAAAAAATCATAATTTGCCAATGTTGCAAAATTAAAATATGTGAGAAAGAGAAAAGGCAGATTTTTCCCTCTGTTTCAGCAGACAATATTTTTTTCCATTCATTTTTATCAGAATTTTCCAAAACAGAGGCAAAAGGTGAAGGGAGATATTGTATGAACCTGCCTCATCAGCCGCTAAATGAAAATAATGAAAATTGGAGAATTTTCCAAAATGTGCAAAATTGAAATGCAAGTAAAGAAAAAAAAAAGCCAAAATATTTTCCCATCCCCTCATCAAGAATTTGTTTTTTAATTTCATTTTGAATCAAAGTTTACCAATGTTTGCTAAATCTAAGATCAGGAGAAAGTAAAACTGAAAAATTGGCTCCACAGATTAGTTTTTAAAAAATTAAATAACACATATTGAAATTTCCTCTTTTAAAAACTACTAACAGGATGGATGCTACCACAGTCAATAGAGAGTTTTGGTATGTTTCCATGTTTGGTTATGAATAACTGATTTTTGTCTTATCAGAAAAAGAAAAAAGCTAGCACAAAGTCTTATCAATTCGTAAGAGATATATAAAGATGAACCTTTTTGTATTTGGAGGTTATACCAATATTGTCTGGTTTATTCTTGTCTTCTGTCTAGCTGTAAGTTTGTTTTATTAGCATCAACAATGGGAGAATGGTAAAGGAGAGCTAGAGAAATACAAACTTTCAGTGTCAGGTTGCAGCAGTATGTTTTCAAGAATGCTTGATTCTGCGGTGGCCAGTAGGCATGGGATCCACCATCATTTTTTTGCAGTTGCAACAGAACAGTAGGTATCGAAAACCAGCTGCTTTGGGTTTCTTTCTATTACATATGGAGTGCGGGGAGGGAGGCAGCCGCTAGAAGGAAAAGGATTGCAGGAAGTGAGGTTTCTTAAGCCCTTTCTTTAAACTCAGGTGTCCTCTATAGAAAGAAGGGAAAGGATTGCAGAAAGAGTGGTATCTTAACTCTCTGATGCTTTTAATCCAGGTCTTAAGGATATAAGGACAAACAATGCCTGAAATACAGGAAGGGGAGCCTGGGAAGCTCTCCCTGCATTGCTGCCAATGGGCTGGATAGAAAATGAATCTTATGACTTCCTGGATCAAAAATGGATTTCTGTCCTCCCAAATTTGGGAGCCTTCTGAAAAACAGATTGGGACCCCCACTGTAATCTGTGACATCAAAACGGATCACATTTTATCCGGATTGCACAAGGCTAGTTACCAGCCCTACTGTAATTGTAAAACTGTAACTACCATATATCTTGCCTGTAAAAGATACAGAATGGGGGATGCCAACGTCATGTAGCGGCAAAAAAAGCCAATGGGATTTTGGCCTGCATCAATAGGAGCATAGTGTCTAGGTCCAAGGAAGTAATGCTACCCCTCTATTCTGCCTTGGTTAGACCACACCTGGAATATTGTGTCCAATTCTGGGCACCACAATTTGAGAGAGATATTGACAAGCTGGAATGTGTCTAGAGAAGGGCGACTAAAATAATCAAGGGTCTGGAGAACAAGCCCTATGAAGAGCGACTTAAACTGCTGGGCATGTTTAGCCTGAAGAAGAGAAGGCTGAGAGGAGATATGATAGCCATGTATAAATATGTGAGATGAAGTCACAGGGAGGAGGGAGCAAGCTTGTTTTCTGCTGCCCTGGAGACTAGGACGGAAAACAATGGCTTCAAGCTACAAGAAAGGACGGAAAACAATGGCTTCAAGCTCGCTGCACTACAGTCTCCCTGCCTGAGCTAGCGGGGGTGGTCTCGAGCCTGGTGGTGGAGTCCCAACGGCTTCTTGTGCTGGGGGACTTCAACATCCATGCCGAGGCGACCCTCACAGGAGCGGCTCAGGACTTCATGTCTGCCATGGCAACCATGGGGCTGTCCCAGCAAATAACTGGCCCCACCCACTGTGCTGGACACACATTGGACTTGGTTTTCTGCCAGGGATGGGAGCAGGATGGCGGTGTGGAGGAGTTGTCTATCTCTCCGTTGCCATGGACCGACCATTTCCTGATCAGATTTAGGCTCACTGCGCCCCCTAACCTCCGCAAGGGTGGAGGACCCATTAAGTTGGTCCGCCCCAGGAGGCTTATGGATCCGAATGGATTCCTGACGGCTCTTGGGAGTTTCCCGCCACCTCGGTAGGTGACCATGTCGAGGCCTTGGTCGCTCTCTGGAATGGGGAGATGACCAGGGCAATTGACAGGATCGCTCCGGAACGTCCCCTCTCAAGTAACCGAGCTAAACCAGCTCCTTGGTTTACTGAGGAGCTGGCAGCGATGAAGCGAAGGAAGAGGGAACTAGAGAGCGTGTGGCGCTCGGACCCAAGCGAGCCAAATCGAGCACGGTTTGTGTCCTTTCTAAGGGCATATGCCGCGGCAATAAAAGCCGCAAAGAAAACTTTCTTTGCGGCGCTACTATTGCGTCTGCAAAAAACCGTCCGGCGGAGTTGTTTCGGATTGTCAGAGGTCTTTTAACTCCCACCTCAGGTGGGAGCCCTGACAATTCGGCCACGCGCTGTGAAGCATTTGCTCGGTTCTTTGCAGACAAAGTCGCTTTGATCCGTTCTGAGCTGGACACCATGTTAAATGCAGTCTCTGTGGATGTGACACGAGCACCTGCTTGTCCTATTTTGATGGATTCTTTTCAGTTTGTGAAACCCGAGGATGTGGACAAGATACTTGGAGGAATGAGGCCTACCACGTCCATCCTAGACCCCTGCCCATCCTGGCTTCTGAAGGAGGCCAGAGGGGGATTGGCTGAGTGGGTAACGGTGGTGGTTAATGCCTCCCTTCGGGAAGGCAAGATTCCAGCGAGCTTAAAACAAGCTATTATAAAACCGCTGTTGAAAAAACCATCACTGGACCCCACTAGATTTGACAACTTTCGGCCTGTTTCCAATCTCCCCTTTTTGGGCAAAGTCATGGAAAGCGTGGTGGCCTCACAACTCCAGGTATTCTTGAGAGACACGGATTATCTGGATCCGGCACAGTCTGGTTTCAGACCGGGACATGGTACCGAGACGGTCTTGGTCACCTTAGTGGATGATCTGCGCCGGGAGCTAGACAGGGGGAGTGTGTCCCTGTTGGTGCTTCTGGATCTCTCAGCGGCCTTCGATACCGTCGACCACGGTATTCTTCTGGGACGCCTTGCAGAGATGGGCCTTGGGGGCACCGCTCTGCGGTGGCTCCAGTCATTTCTGGAGGGTCGTACCCAGAAGGTGTTATTGGGGGACTCCTGTTCAACACCACAGCCTTTGACCTGTGGTGTTCCTCAGGGTTCCATACTGTCCCCCATGCTGTTTAACATCTACATGAAGCCGCTGGGTGAGATCATCCGGAGTTTCGGGGTGCGGTGTCATCTGTACGCAGATGATGTCCAACTCTGTCACTCCTTTCCACCTGCTACTAAGGAGGCTGTCGAGGTCCTGAACCGGTGCCTGGCCGCTGTGACGGTCTGGATGAGGGCGAACAAACTGAAACTAAATCCAGACAAGACAGAGGTACTCCTGGTCAGTCGCAAGGCCGAACAGGGTATAGGGTTACAGCCTGTGCTGGACGGGGTCGCACTCCCCTTGAAGGCGCAGGTTCGCAGCTTGGGTGTGACCCTGGACTCATCGCTGAGCCTGGAGCCCCAGGTTTCAGCGGTGACCAGGGGAGCATTTGCACAGCTTAGGCTCGTGCGCCAGCTGCGCCCGTATCTTGGGAAGTCTGACTTGGCCACGGTGGTACACGCTTTGGTCACATCCCGCCTCGACTACTGCAACGCTCTCTACGTGGGGCTGCCCTTGAAGACGGCCCGGAGGCTCCAGCTAGTCCAGCGGGCGGCAGCCATGTTGTTAACCGGAGCGGGACGCAGGGAGCGCACAACGCCCTTGCTGTCCCAGCTCCACTGGCTGCCGATCAGCTACCGGGCCCAATTTAAGGTGCTGGTGCTAACCTACAAAGCCCTAAACGGTTCCGGCCCAAAATACCTTGAGTACCGCATCTCGGCCTACGAGCCCACGAGGACCTTGAGATCATCCGGGGAGGCCCTTCTCTCGGTCCCGCCTGCCTCACAGGCACGCCTGGCGGGGACTAGAGAGCGGGCCTTCTCGGTGGTGGCCCCCCGGCTGTGGAACTCCCTCCCTGCTGAAATCAGACAGGCGCCTTCCCTCATGGCCTTCCGCAGGGGCCTGAAAACCTGGCTCTTCGAAAGGCCT